TGATTGTGCTGTAATTTACACGCCGTTGCTAATTAGTAATGGAAGTGAACTTCAAATCGAACTACTCAGCATTAAAAGTGATTATTTAGCCATATTTATATTTATCAATGCAATAATGCTGTGTTGAGGTAGGTCTCTTACTTTTGTAGTGCAACTTTCGGGGGACATATCTTTAAATTGATTATAGTTACTGGCTTACTCAAGAACTGTTTAACAAGCAACCTCGATTTATTTCGAGTCAGGTTCGGGGCTCATAGTCATGGCGCAGCGAATGTGACGCCATGCAAAAAACTATACAGATACCTGAGTAAGCTGTTAGACATATTAAATTTAGGTCTCTATTGTCTAATGACTAATACATAGTTAAGGATATTTAATTAGTAAAGGACAGCGTAGCGTATATGTATAGTACCAGCACATTAAAAAAACTTTAGCAAAACAAAAACCTATGTATGTTCTAAACTCATTCATTTCACTTTTATCTGAAATGATGAGTTCAAAACATAACTTTCTTTAAGAAAGTTGTTTGTTATCATTAGTACTATCACGTGCTAAGCTGTCCTTTACTAATTAAATGCCACTGTTTATACACTGTTAGTGTTTAGTGCTATCGGTACTAGCAGAAAGACAATCAACAGTGAAGGTTGATTTTTACGAAAGCAGTAGTTGTGGAGGTTTTTGGATATGTTGCGTTTTTCAATAGTTCTGCAATTATGTTATTTTATTGATGCATTGGTATAGTAACAATAGTTTATGCCTTGACGTATTTCATTTTAAAACATTACACTTTCATTTTATCCATAATGTTAATCTGTAGGCAAATTAAATTAAATATCTACCATAATATTGCACGCATATTTTAAATACCCATATTGTTATTCAAGATCTTTCCTGTTACGCTAATATTGTGTCGTATTAGACTAACAGGGCCGCAATCAATAAATTAATTAGGAATCTTCATATAAATTAGTCTCGGAGACGTTTCATATAGCTACTAGACATGTAGCCACTTATTATTTTATTTTGACGCTAGCGAATACAATAACAACTTGCATAAATATTAATGTAAGTCAAGCGTAATCTATGAACTCAATTATACTGGGACAAAAATAACAGACAGACGTTTATCCTTTAAACTTTAGCTTATCGATCGTTAACAGAAATTTATCGAAAGTAGTTCTAATGGAAATTGACTACGCTTAAAGATTCGTCTAGTCAAGTCTAGTCTAGTCTAAGCGCTTCATCGGCAACGCACATTTTTAAACGCAAACATTTAAAAGAATCTATGTATGTTTTTACAACCATTGTTTATTTCTCTTTTCTTTAAATACTTACTGATTAAGATGAATTTGTAACTAACTATTATTTAGTAACGAAATGTAGTAGATTTAGGACTGTGTAATCAATGAAAAACATTCGGGATTATCGCATTCTTCAAATTCTGTTAGAAACGAGACATGAAAACCAAACCGCTCCTTTCTTCAGCTCTCCGTGTTAGGTACTGGTGTTGGAGTACTATGGATCACTAAGCTAATCGGCTTGGGCACATAGAAGGGACAAAATAAACAAAGCTTAGGAAACACATAAGCCAGATTTAACGATAACTGTCTCCCAAACAAACTGCAACCGGAATAAACCGGTCGCGAGTGTTTTGTTACTGAACATTAGGCTCCGGGAGTTTTCACGTAGATGTGGGGCCCGCTTCTATAAATATTATCAAAAATTTTCCGGGGAAGGAGTTAATTAAAATTTGTATCCAACTTCGTTGTCACCTGCCAACCCTTCTCTCATATTTTGGCTGTAGGCTTGTAGTATACCGTGGCTAGGTTGAATATTTTGTACGAAATCTTTTAGCCTGTTGATATCAAAAGTTGACAAAATACTTTTTCGGAATATTGATATTTGACTTATCTACTAGGCTACAAATGAGATCTTAGGCGCAGAAAAATATTACTATAAATGAGCAAAATCGGTATAATTTTAAAAATATTGTAAGATCAACCTAGTTTTCAGTGTATTATTAATTACTGGGACGTCCGTTGTTACTTGAGGTGTATTCAATTAGCCAGTCTGCCCTTTTGATCGGATCTCAATAAATGAGCTGTCTACCTCACAATTTGTCTCGATAATAACGTGTATTCCGATACAGCATACCTAGTAGCTAGGTAGGTACTTAGGTTTTAATTCCTGTTGCTTGTTTGAAAACACTTCCGCGAAACACAAGTTTATAGAGTAATGTTTTGTTTGAATACCAATAATATGAAGCAGTTTTGATTATTTTGTTGAAGATTGGCATTGATTTAGTTCAATAGATTGATTTGTTACACACCGCAGTTAATAAATGTGTTTTAGATGAGTTCTGATGAATATAGAGTTGTATGCAGTTCTCTTGGTGCAACATTTCTGACTGTTACCGACTCATTGGCTCTGTAGCGTAATTACTCACATTTTGGTAGCGGTACGTGCCTTTTACGTGACGTTTGAGGAAGTCAGATGTTGTACATACTTTTGACTTACGTCATCAAACAATGTTCAAATATTAAATATCGTAATTCTTCAATTTATTTTTTTCCATGCAGCTTGACAACGTATGCTTTGTTGTGTAACGTACCTAATTATCTCGTCGTATTGCTAAACCGAATGCGAGTTAAGTCGAGTGTAAACAGTAGTGTTGGAGCCTTGGTGCCCCTATTGTTTCATTTACATAAACGTCTATCTATCATCGATAGCATTACTTAACAATTTCCATTGATTCATCTTTTACTATAGATGATAGTGGCGAATGAGTTAACCTTTAAAGTATTTTCCTCTAGGTACGTTTATTATGTAAACTAGAATTGTAATTGCTTTTATGTAATTATCAATGATTCTGTTATTTATACATGCTGGAGTGAATTACTGCTTTTGTAGAATGTAATCTTGTAAGTACTATGCTTTACTAAAACATTGACGTCATGCGCTCAACAAAAATGTGACGTAGGCGCAAGCAGCCGAATACAGGGAGGGGGAGGGTGCTACGCTTCTTACGAATATTCATTCTCCGTAGTAACTGATTATAATGAATGAAAAGATCAGTTTAAGGGCAACACCATCTATAACAGATCCATAGAATATAAACCAGATACAAATACCTATAGCTAAAACCTAAATTGTCTCTTGTCAAAATTACCAATAAATATGTTATCTTATTTTATTCTTTATAAGGTCGAAAATCTGAAAATCATTTCCATCAAGTTTTTCAATTCTCTTAGGTCAAACTTTGTAAGATATATCAAGTTTGACAGCCTCTAAGCATTTTGTTGATCATCAATCATTTTTTTTTAAGTAGCTAGGTCAATATATTTGAATGTATACAAACTTTTATATGAATAAGTTGAAACATTTTCAGTTCTTTCAGATTGTTTTATCTAATATAAGTGTATAATTAAGTTATGAAATTATTTTTACAATTACACAGAAAGTGCCTAATTACATATATTCTTGTTTTTCTAGTTCAGACAATGGTAAACCTTAGATATTTTACTCTTTGCATATTGTACAACAATTTTGATGTTTGTAAATGTTAAATATCATTTTATGTAATTTTGACTGTTTTATTCTAAAACATGGTGTGTTGGCTAAACATTGTAGTTCATGGACATACTACATAGAAACTTAGTCCAGTACACACAAGGCCTCAAAATACATTTTCTAATAAACTTATTCACACAGAACTATGTTTAGATTTAATGAATAGTGTCAAATACTGAAACTGAGCCAAGTAATCATTACCAGATTGTAGTTAGCCCTCAAAAACATTATTTTAATGGTACCTTGTGCTAAGGCAGAAATAACATATATTATCATGAGTTTATGTGTCCTGGCAACCCTAAAGACAGTGAAGGTCTTTTTACATTGGACTCAATTCTATTTTCAAATGTTATGTTGTATTACTTTTAATCATCTGTGCTTATTTCAAGGTGTTTAGTTGATTTCCATCTGGCCAGCTATAACTAAAATTGTTTATAAACAGAATAATTATTGTGATGTTTTGTTTTTTGAAAATTATGTCTTTTGGGGAAATAGGTACTGGGATGGTTGTCATAATATGTTGTATTTATATTATTGTTATTTTCATCTTTTCAGATTGTTTGGTGGATTTTAATAGACTTAAAGGTAATTTTTGCATGTTAAGCTTTATTATGTTATTTTACAAATTTTGGTATTTTTGTAAAATATTTTCTCTATGAATTTAAAAGAGGCTTTTTATCCGGTTAGTAAATACTAGGAAAACCACTGTTTCAGAAATTTTGATAAAAAGACATCTCTTCAAAGTTTGAACGGAACAGAGATTTATTGTTTTTGTGTATTTTCAATATCTATTATACAATAGTCATTGTAAATTTATGTCAAAACAATATTCATATTTATTTAATAAATTTGGTCTATAATACCAACATCAATCTTTAAAACCCAGTTTAACCAACATTTTTTGATCGGACCCGTTTCAGCCATAGCAGATATGAATATGAATAAACAACAAATGAAAGAAGCATTGAACCAAAAACTTCAATCAAAAAACTAAAACCTCATTCTATTTGCAAAAACATGTTTAAAATTGCATATTTACACTATTACTACAGTGTACATAGTTCAACAATTAGCACTGGAGAAACTACACTTTCACTGTACATATAAAGCATAGACAACATATTTTTAAATAAACATCACTATTTGTATAGCCAGTCCAGTGAGTAATGTGATTTCTAATAAAAAAGTGCATGTACCTATATATCAAATGTTGGCCAACAACAAAATACACATGTTTAACTAGCACACTACGGCGTTACGATGGTATATTAACAACGTACAGTAATTAAAGCCAGGCAAACGTGTTGATGGGCAGTAATGCACGGCACAAATCCACACGACGAAATAAACAATAATATGAATGAACAATGCCTGCTTAGTGGTACTAAAGCAATGTTTAACTACGGTTAAAGCCAATATAAAAATTTTACCAGTGTGTCCTGGTCGCCCAGCTCTCTATAGTACGATTCACTGCTCCCTCTTCTGCTACCGACACACATCGCCCGCCTCAGCAAACCAGACAACATTGAGCAGAACCCACATCTTTGCATATTATTATCAATTTTGACGGCTAGAAGCGACTACGAGGCTTAAAGTCTCTCTGACGAAAACGCCGAGATCGTAACGACGACGAGAGATTTATCTTAAACACCTCCAAAAAGTTGAAATCGTAGTAACATTTTGAAGATTTATAAATAATATCAGTGTTATTTTGGATAGCTATTATCGAGACTCAGCGTGTCTCATATTTATTTCGTATATTTAGATGGAATTTATGGTATTTGCGGTAGAATACGCGATCGCGATAACAGTTGATTACGGTGTTATGTTAGCGCACGACTAGTAAGTCGGACGGCGCGCGGCCAGCCGCCGAGCGAAGTGCTGACAACTTAACGAACAGACACCGAATGAAGTCTAAAGTCTAATCTAAACCAACAACTGATGTTCCTCGCTCACTCTCATTCGTTCTGGTTTGTCGGTTGCACGCTTGCGCAGTATAAAACCAGCGTAACCAGAGCTTTGGCAGTAGAGAGGAATAGTGGATCTGCGCGTTATAAAAGAACGAGATAGTCAGATACACGCGACGTTCCCAACTACATTACGAACGTCGATTGGTCTATGAAACTCGCCGGTGGTAGCTACTACTCACAGACTATACAATTTATTAAAGCTAGTTAAGCTAGGTATAGCCTAATGTAATGTAGACAAACTTGTGATTATGTAGTACTTTTACTGAATTCTTCAGCAATAAATTAATAACAAGATTTGGAGATATTTTTAGGATAGTTATAGGCTTAAGCAAGTTTGTTTTTCTCTTTGTAAATTGCTTGAAATGGAACTAAATATCGATCAACCAAATTAAGACTACCAAACGTAGATTATTGAATTGTTGAACGAAATAATTTTGACAGTTCAACTTGACAAATAATTCTTACGTTCAGAAGTTTTTGAGAAAAACAGACTGAGCGTATTGTACTAATGTACGAAGACAAAACAAGCAAAATGACTGCTTCGTGATGTTTATCAGAAGATACGAAGTTAGATTTGGCATGGGTTCTAAATAATCTGATTTTCTTACCCAGCCAATTTCAAAGTTATAGTTTGTAATCAGGCAGGAAGATCTTACAATCGTCTTCCATCTTCATCTTCAAGATTTTGATTATGTGGGTGGTAACTCGGAAAAGGTGAAGTGAGAACATACTTGCCAGGTTTGTAACCCTATGAACCAATATTGCCTTTGCCTTAACCCCCGTGCCACCACGGCCGATGTGAACAGCAGGTGTTTTTAAACTGTTCTTTTATATTAGGTAATTTATGATAGGTCCCTCCTTATGTGATTTGTTAAGTATTCGGGTAATTATTCCGTATTTTAATTAAAAATAATATATTTAAAACAAGCTAAAGCTAGCTAAATTCTATCAATAAAATATAACTGTCGTAATAATAATTTATGACATTTTAATAAAAGTTTTGAATACAATGAAAGGTTGAAAATAACTCTTTTTTTAAATATTTTATACAAATAAGCAAGTAAAGTTCCTATAACTCGGTTATCTTTATGAATATTTTGCTATTCTTCTTCAATGGCAATTGACTAATAATTTGTAATAATTATATAATTTTACTAATTATTATCTAATATATTAGTTACTTACGCTAAGTGACATTTAAAATAAAAACACTCAATGTCAAAAACTTCACTGTCAAATAAGATGTTGCCAGAGTAAAATTTTAAATGAAGTTGAAATATTATTACATTCATTAAAAACGGATAAATTATTTACAAGTTTTGTGATCAAAATTTACTGGTAAATATATTTCTGTTAAACTAATAAAAAAAGAAAATGTTGAGTGATTTTGCAAAGTCATACATAAATACAACTTAATGGACAACACAGTAGAGTCCAGAACGTTCCATCCCAGATAATACACAATTTTGAGTAAATCTACTTACTTTTCGTACTACTTACTTAATCACTATATTAATACAGACATATTCACAAAGACAAAATGAAATCATTCATTTGAGCAGAGCACAGTATCCGGTGACTGAGTCTAGTCTAGTGTTATCCTTCAGCAACTGGGATGACTCGGATTTGAATTGATTTGACGGGAAACACGTTAGGACGCACGGCGGTGGTGTGGACAAGGAGGGTCGGAGCACCGCCTTATTATTAGGGAGTGATCTGGGACTGGGACAGCAACCTCAATCTCCTGGCTCTAATTCACGCCATTGTGCTGGGTAGGACAATTCGGGATGCCGTCTTCTTTTTTAAAATCTACTAGCAAGAGAGGCGTCGTTACGATCGTTCGAGATTCTATCAGATCGAGCTAGAATACGTACAGTATATTCTAGCTTGATCCCAACCAATGAGACGTTGGTGTTCGTTCTAGTCGCGAAATGGTGTACTCGATGGCTGTCTGTCGTTCCTTGTAAGGTAAACTTGGGGCATGGGTGCTTCGATAAGTCCAGGTTTCCTCACGATGTTTGCCTTCACCAATAATAAGAACTTAGAAAGAATCTAATAACTTGGAAAAAGACACACAGTTTCTTGCCTTTAAATATATAAAATTAGTAAGTTCACTTAAATAAACTAGTGGTGGTAACTATCGATTATATTGAATTATGAATTTCGAATTAAACATAAAACTTAGTTTTTTGTTGCTAAAGAAATAACAAATTATACATTTAAAGTTGTTTAATTTCTATTGCTTTAAATACTGATGATTGATTTTTTTATGTGGCAACATTTTTATAATTGTGGTGTTAATTGTCAAAGTCAAAATGACATTAAAGAAAGATGTCTGTTGTCTGTCATCTGTCATGAACCTCTCTTTTAAAGAGTGTTTATTTTCTTTGCTTACGACCATATTAATTATTTTATAATAAAAAATTTCTTCTAATCGAGAGGCTTGTTCTTTTGAATTTTGAAATCTCTATTTTCATATTTAAGTTTCCTCTTCTTTTGGGGAACGTTAGACTTCAGTATTTGTCTGGACCCTGAACATTGTCTTCATGTTTAATTTGGCACGTAGTCTGCCGAAGTCACCGGAGAAAAGATAATAATATATATTATTACCTTAAAGATACTAAGAATCTGTTAAAATCAAAATGCCCAATCGATGTTTCAGATAAATTTGAATATAGTAGTAATTTGCACTTATATACTTGGTTCCACACTGCCACATACATTTATTGGTTACTGATGAAGCAGATACCTACTCCCTCTCGGTTTCACCTGCTACTCGGGTCCTTTTGGTCAGAGTGACTTTTTTCCAAATGTCTATTTCTCCAACACAAAAAGAGTGCTTCAATTCAGTTCAGAAGTTCTTGAGATTAACCCGATCAAACAAATAGATATTCTTTATTTGAATTTTACAACTTTTAGTGGCTTACCTCATTTCAATTTGTAATCTAAATCCATAATTTGAAATTTTTACTTACTCAGAGGAGTCAACAATGTAGTTCATATATTAGTGAAACTCCAATCATTGAAATCATTACAGTGATTTTTGGTTGGTGGTCTACTTTTGGTCTGATCCTTTTCATGCTTGTTACCTTCTCTATTTTTCTTAGGTCTTTAGTCTAAGCTAGGCTTCTCTTGAAAATGAAATTTGGTCTTTTTGTTTCTAAAATGTTACCCGTTTTTGGTTTTGTGGCGACCATTTAGCGTCAAATGAGATTTTTCATTATCGGTTACCACTAACTACAAAAGGTGATAATATAGATATAGCATATTGTTAATCAGTAGTTTTAAATAGTAGGGTAACTAAAGCAACAATTTTAATAAAATTTTATATTTTAGTGAAGTTTTAAAGTAATTTTTAAACTGGAATAAGTACTTAAATGAATTTTGTTATTTGTAGTACTCACTAAAATGAATTCTTATCTCGGTGGGACAAGATAAGGTATAAGTCTCTTTATGGCTAAAAACCTGCTCCAGGCCAAGACTCCAGCATATAATTACTGTGCTAGACCTACAACCATGATTGAACATCAGCCCTATTATGCCCCGGGTACCCTCTATCTGGCAGAAACTTGTTGCTCCAAAACCTATTTGGTATAACTCACTTGGCATAAACTGTTTCAACGCACATTGTTAAGGCATAAACATATTTAATATAAATGTATTTTAGACATTTTTTTTTTAATGTCTGTTTAAATTTGAAGTGGGATACTTTTCATGTGAGGAAACTTGAACTTATAGTTCTTTACAGGAGTTTCTGACTAGTCAAATTCATAGCGGTTTGCTATGATAACTTTTAAACTTTCGCGTTTCATGTTAACAACGTATTATTAAAGCGGGTATTAACGCGAACTACCTTGTAAGGCTTGACATTTCGACCTGAAAATTCTAAATGAAACTTCAAATTATGACGTCATAGTAATTTTGCATCAAATAGCTTTATTATTTCTTTAAACATTAGCTAAACAATATCTAAAATTTAGTGTATGGACAGATCGATAAAAAAAAAGAATTTTGGTTTGACCTAGGAAACAAGACCCTATTATCAATCCTTCTCCGCGTGAGAAGATCAGCTTTGCTCAGCAATGGGTCTTATTATAGCCTAACTCTGCCTAACATAAGTATTTATCGCGATGGTAAGCAGGTGCGCCTGGACATTGCAAAACCAAACGAGTTGCAACTGCGTTGCCGACCTTAGGCGGCTAAAGGTCTTGGGGAGTTAACAATTGGTGAAGGATGGGAGAAGGGGAACGATTATTCTTCCGGTAACCTCACTCACACGGCGAAACAACGCTGTAGTTGGTTCAAACTCGAACTGGCTCCTTCTTGCCAAAGCATGGCTCTTCCACACTTGATATGAAGCTACCTTATGGAAAGCCATAACAGTCTGCGCACATGAAACGCTAAGCAAATGCATTTTTAACCATGTCTTTAAAAATAATAGCGAGATCGAAATATACAATACAATACACAATGTTTATATAGATATGGGTTTATATTTTGTAGGTACATTATATTGTTTGCGTAGGAGACTAGGAACTGTTAGTGATAATATATTGCGTAGGTAAGTAGGTTATAGAATATAGGCTAGTAGATCACCATGTAGCGTAAACTGCGGACATACCAAAACAATTGTAGGAATACGCACGACCCATATACAAAAGTTAAAAATAAATATATCGCGATCATTGTAGTATAAATATAGGTAGCCTAGCAGGGAATGGACGCGAGCCAAGACGTAACAAAACTTTGACCTAACCGGGTTTGGACTAAGGTCATCGTTATGGCGACTGTACTACAGCATTTATTATCCAGAAAACAATGGTTTGAAATCTCGTACTATAAGAATATTGTGAAAACTAGCTTTGCCTGTGATTTCTTTTGCGTTGCTCATAGAGGATATAACCATTGTGTGTGGTTATATGGTCATTGGCGTTGCTCTTGATTACTTAGTATAAAATTTTGTATAGAGTATAGAGTGTGT